TCAGAACCAATTCAAAACTTTTGCATGCGGGTTCATGGCTTAGTTAAATATTTCCCGCGAACACGGAGACAGATGTCAGTAGTGTGCTTTGGTCAGAAATTTTATTGTTTTTGCTATGGTCTGTTTGTCGGTGCTAGAACTACCTGCACGCTTAGAAAAAATCATGTAAATTTAAGCGCTCTGAGACTGACATATACGGGCGTCAATTTTGACATAGAATTCAGTCATAACAATGTGCAGGAAGACACCTGCGTACGATATCGCACCCATTCAACACACATTACTTCCCTTTCGAAGGAAGACGTGACCAGAGATTTTTATACCTCAGAAAAATCCCACCGACCTCGGCTGGGATTGAACCCAAACCCATTGGGGTGAGAAAGCAGTCACGCCTACCACTACACCACCGGCGCTGGCAGCGGAGTCTTGTGTAGTTTAAATTTGCACGTGCTTCATGTTTTACGTGCTTAGGGTTGAAGTCTTAAACGTCAGAATAATGCCTGCGCTGCTGCGCATCATAAATGATGGAAGCAGTTTACGCATATACAATAACCTCAATACCCAAAAACTATGCAATATTTTCTCATGTCCACTAACAGTTTTCTTTTAAATATTTAAAAGAGCAAGAGATCAAAACTGTTAATAATTCCTGTAGCTGAAAATTTTCTGTCAGCACTTGTTGAAACAAACAAGGGTTCATCTGCATTGCTGCTTATAAGCATTGCAGTCCACTCCATTTTAATTATTTTTTTAGGGTAAGGGGCTGTTCATAAACTACGTAGACAGTTTAGGGGGGGGGGGGGGGGGGTTGACAATTATCCACGGACCATACAAATTTTAAAATTTTTGTATGGAAAATTGTCTACGCATGGGGAGGGGGGGGGGGGTCAATAATCCCAAAAAACGGTCTACGTAGTTTATGAACAGCCCCTAAAAGTTTTTCATAAATTCCTATTTCCGATTTTAGTTTTTGAACACCAATTAATCGATTTTTCGACGGTATTTATGAACATATTTTAGCCATCTACGTTAACGCGGAGCTTACCGCTGTAAATTTTTTTGTTTTTTTTTTTTATGGTACAGTTTGATTTTTCTAGAAGCATTGAAGAATGAAGTTAAAATTTAAAGAACCCCGACGGCCAATTTGAAGTGAATACTTTAATTTAACGCAGTTCAAAAGTTCCACGCGAAGAGCATGGAAATCGGAACTGCGTACCACAATAGGGAGGATCTTTTCCTTCTTGGCATTAATCCGGGATAGTTTATTCGAATTTTGCCTCATTATCCATGAGCAGATCAAATTTATTGTTTAAATGAATTTCATTTAAAAAGGGGATCAAGAGATTGCCCTTTTCTTTTGCGTTTAGGCGCCATGACGGCAGAACAAAGTTCCGTCAAATCGACTTCCAACCAGCTTGCTATACCAATCCGAAAGATCGAAGAGGAATTTTCCAAGTCGATTTCCAAGCAGAATTACCTCGGGTCCAAACAAGGTAGTAAATTTGCTGGTAATATTTTGCTGTAGAGTTAGATGGTAGTAACACTTCCTTAAGCTAAAATCAAATAGATCCGCACGTCAAGAGAGCACAGGACTGATCATTTTGTAATGTTTTTGCATAATCCACAACGTACTTTTTTCGGTGGCGTGGTAAGCTTCTCGTTATGATTTGGAAGGCAATTTCTGTATGCTACCAAATCCAAATAGGTTAATCTTCAAATACGTAAATTTACAAATTATAAATAGTTTTCAATTTAGAAGATAACAAAATTATTAGTGATATTTTAACTGAAATAAAAAAAAGCATGATTGAACTATGTATGTGGGTATGTAGCGCTAATGTCTGGTATTATTCCATTTTCAATTTGCATGTCATAAACAAAGGGCGGGCTCTTCCTCCCTATTTTTTAATACGGTCTCCTCAGATTTACCAGATTAAAAAAAAAAGCTTTAAATCAAACATAAATTCCAATTGATCTAAAGAACGAAAATATTGTCGCTTGTCACTTCACGCCTTCGGCCAGATGCTGGCTATTAATAGTATGATAGTTTATAAGCAAACGAACAAGAAGGAGAACGCAACCCATAAAAAATTGGGATGACACTCAGCAGAAAAATATGACAAGCACCAAATAAATCGCCACCGAAAATAGGAAACACACTTCCCGTTATGCGACCGTAAGAATGACAAATTTATGTTAGTAAAGTGCTTGTCTTCGATGACGGCGTCGTCGTCGTCGTCGTCGTCGTCGTCGTCATCATATCATCGTTCGTTCGCAGTTAGACGTTAGTTGATGATGGTTGACGACGCCGACGACTGCTCCGCGGCTGCAAGTACAAGTGCAATGGCCTTTTTACATTTAAAATTAATGGGCGATGATTCGTATCTTGTCGTGTTTACAGCCAGCCGTGCGAAATATTTATGCGTGGCTTCCGATGTAATCAGTGTTTACAAACAAGCGTGCACATGTTAAACGTGGCGCTGGGCGCCACAAGACTGGAGAAAGTATCTTCCTTCGGTATAATTTTCCTGTGGTTAATTCGCTAATAACATTCGACTAAAACGAAACCAAAAATCAATTGATCTGAATTATGAACTCCTTGATTAGGGAATTGTATTAATTTACGGGTGTTTTAGCGAAACCTAGTTCTTTATCTGTCATAAATTAATTCATACTTCCAATGCCAAAGCACAATCTTTGTGGCATTACGGTACTGTGGTGGGCCAACGGAAACAGCAATCAGAAAAAATATTAATACACGACAATTCTGACGAAGTCTACGCAGCAGCAGAATACACCTACAGTGGTACATTAGGGTGTCCCAAAAATATGTAATTAACTGCCAGTTCTATTCTACGAAAGCTTTAAAAACAATCGGTTTTTGTGCAATACTGGAGAGCACCCTTGCTGAAGAACACAAGTCGACGAATTAAATTTTCTCTGAAGAAAACTATCTAAAAGTACTCGGTGACACCCTACAGCCCGCCAACAATCGACTTTGCATGTCTCAGAACCGTTTTGGCGCAACGTTGTATTACCTATAGGATAGGATAGAGCTAAGAAAAAATAATCATACCCAGCACGCCAACACTCCATACCGGAGGGAACCACTCCACCTCGTGTCCAAGGAAAGTCAGGCCTGCGTTCAGTTTTTATTTTTGGAATGCGAAATATAGCTAGCTAGCCCAGTGAGGTGTAGCAGCTGCTACGTGATAAAAATTTACTACCGTTCCCAGGCAAACAAACGGCTTCCTCGGAGCTGGCTTGGAAGTACTTACCAACCTACCTGCGATGAATGAAATAGTGCTGCTGTAGAAGTCAGGTGTAACTGGAAGGTATTCCGTGATTCTAGAACACAAAGAAGCGAAAACGAGACTTGGCTAGTGTCAGAATTTGGATGGCATGATTGATGGAACACGCTACAATCGAAGATTTGCCGATTGTGAAGAGCGGTTGTAGGGTTTACTGCGCCGGAATGACGTCTTTTTTTGGAAACTACAAATGTTTCAACACAAATGCTTGAGATAATTTTAGAATTTCGATTGAAGCTTTGCAGATATTCAAAAATTCGAAGAAGATTTATTTATTATGTAGTTGAAATGTTATGTAAACCTATAAATCATCGCATGATGTTGCAATTCAATCGAACTTCTTCTTCATATTCTTCTTATTTTCGCATTTCAATCTTATTGCTTATTGCATATTAGCATATTGCGTGCGCTCAACTTAGTGTTCTAGATGCACTTCCTCAGTTATTAATTGAGAGCTTTCGATGCCTGTACCATTTTTGCATTGGTATAATTGTGTGGCAAGTCCAATCATACTTCTATGCCCAGGGAAGTCGAAAAATTTTCCAACCCGAAAAATTCGTAGACCGGACCGGCCACCTCCAGCATGGTCTTGCTTTGTAGCTGCGCCTCTAGCAACTGAGCTAAGGGAGGCCCATGGCGACAGAATCGAGTATCTAGCAGGTCATTTGATCTGAACTCCAGGATGATTCGAACAACCAATAACATCACCTATGCCGTAAGACGGGGTGACATTGGGCCGAAATTGAAAAATGTTTATTGATACAAATATCTTAAATAGGGGAAATGGATGCCTAAATGCCCCTAATTCGGCCCATACATAAATTCAGCAATCGACTTAATTTTCAATGGTGACCAAAAATATCCATTAGTACCGTCCCAATGACGCGTTCATCTAAAATTGATAAATAGAAGATTTTTAGCGATGGGCCCAATCTTAGATCCATAGGCCAACATTAGAGCCATTTCCCCTATTTCTCAATAAATATTTAGAACAAATTTGTTGACGACTTCTGTGCATAAAGTTATTCACCTTTGCCCAAGTGAACCGCATATACCTAAAGACGTATGTGAGATAAGCGAGCTTGCGCTAAATGCCGAATGGTCGATAACTTTTTGCGCAATAGTCGAATCAATTTTCAGTCTTCCACAAAGTTGTTCTGCATAGTTTTCCCAATGACCATAGTCTCAGGTATGGGAAAAGTCGAGCATTTGGACAAGCAAATGAATACCACACATACTTTAAAACAATTTCCCCCGCAAAACCAGATCGCTACCAAATTCGTTCGAATTAGCTACAGTTGTTGGGAACATATCCAATGAGCACATAATGCATCCATTATTGTCATTAGCTTCTCACTGCTTGTGGAATGATTACGTTAACGATCACTAAAGTCAACGGCAAAATTTAAGGGAAGCAGGTGCGCACCTCCACCGATCCACATACACGCACTTTGATCGCTCATCATAACGCACACGTGCCATCAGACGATGATGTCAATGAGGCAGCACAAGTACGAACGAACGAAGGGCCGGGCATAACGCAATAACCGCACATTCGTAATCCAATCCGCCTTCAATGGGATCAAAATTTCACAACAAATTTATGAGACACCTTTGTTGTGTTTCGTTCCCCCCCCTCCATCGTGTTCTCACCAATAATGCATCTCTGTTTTCTCGTTTTCATTTCAGATCATTGAATGACTCATGGAATTTGGGTAAGTTCGAACTGCACTAGTGCACTTGTTTGCAACACAAATCTCGCAGCCGCGGTGATGACGGCGGTGGCACGTACCTCTCATAGGTAGACGTGTAATTTAGAAGAATGGTTCAATTTCGAAAAAGTGACAGCCTAAAGATTGCGTACAAACTCCAGCACGAACCGAAAGAGCGAGAGAGAGAGAGCGAGTGGCTGAAAAAACATAAACAATGACAACTCAATTGCCTATTCGAGTGTCTTCGGGCGAGCTCAAACGAACGAAACTGATTAACATTCCAGCACCGCCTCCGGGCGTGAAAAGTGTAAGTAGGTATTTCGTGCGAAGATTTATTACAATTGAGGAGATTGGATTTTTTTTGTTTCGGGTTGGAAAAACAATCACAGCTTTTCGGAGAAGAAGGCTCCTATTTAAGTATAGATTTCTGCGTTTTTTCCATAATTCTCTTCATCCAAATAGACAATGGGTTCATTATTGATGCTTGACTTGAAGGACTTTTCGGGGTTTCGTTCGTCGGGGTCGTAAAATGGGGAAACACATCAAGGGAGAATAGCGCTCTTTTACGAGCAAATTTTAAAGTTTAAATGAGCGGTCGTCGGGTGGTGGTAAAACCGTAATGAGAAAATGGGTTTTCCCGGCCATAATACTGCTGGGTTTCCGTTAGTTATTGCATTTGGTTAAGCTTCTGTTAATCGATTTTAATGTTTTAAAGTGTTCCAGGCCATGGAGTTCTTCTGTGTATATTATCACGTCTTAAATGAGGCATTAAATGCTAGTGGTATCATCATTTGGTGGCAGAATGGCGTTTTTCCACTAGGAAACTGTGTTCGTGTTTGAAAAATCACATGAAATCAATAAATCAGTGCCAACATTTCAAAGGGGCGTAATTGCATTTGTAAGCAATGGCTACGACTTTTCTAAAGAACCAATCCTGGACGACTTGTTTTTCTAATAACGAATCCAACAATATTGGACTGAATTTTAGATTTCAGTGCCAACATTTCAAAGAGGAGTAAATGCTTTTGTAAACAATGGCTTTAGCCGTCGATTTCTCGCGAATAAAAGCTTACTCATGAAAAATAATGACACAAACAGGTAGATGTATGTTTCCTCTACCACTTTGCATTGTTATTTTGGAGGGTTGAGCTTTTATTCGCGAGAAATTGACGACTAAAGCCATTGTTTACAAAAGCATTTACTCCTCTTTGAAATGTTGGCACTGAAATGTAAAATTCAGTCCAATATTCTTGGATTCGTTATTAGAAAAGAAAGACGTCCAGTAAATATTTGTTTTTTTTTAGGAAAGTCGTAGTTTTCAGGAATCATAGCTTTCAGGATAATCACAGAACTTTAGAGACATTCTAATTGAAAATGAATTGAAATTAAATCAATAAAAGCATCATATTTAGAGAAGATCCGCATTCTTTCTAGCAAAAAGATAGCTAGGAGCATGTCCAACTTGGCAACTTACATCGACAGTTCAGAAGACCTACAGGAGCATCAGCGGGAAGAAACATCAACAAATAATCAAAAAAGGCTTCGATTGTCGTTGGGGGACGAGCATACTCCAAAAGGCTCCTTAAAAAATCATGGAGATGTTTCAGGGTGAGCTCGAATGATTTTCAGATGATTTGGATAACAATCTGGAAACTCAGTTGACTTTTAAACGGTAGTTGAAGGACATTAAATGTAAATTTCGAAGACCTACAGTGGTCCATAATGGGAATTTAGAAGGACTGGTAGTCCTAGAGCTTTTATGGTAATATTTAGACGTTTTTTTGTCTTAAATTAAGTTTTTGTGCTTGAAAAAGCTCTTCTTTTGGTGGTTGTAAACCTTAGGATGGCCAATAGTTGATATTCAAAAACTAACTTTTTTATTTTTGAAGCAAAGTTTTAGATGAGTTAATTTCAATAATTTTTGTTGAAGAAATACATTGTCAACCCCTCAACGTTTTCATTTTAGATTATTTTTTGGATTAAATTGGGTGTACCTGAAAAATGAAGATTTTTAGTTCTAAATCATTTGTTTAAAATGTCTCGTGAAAGTCGTTTCAAAGTAACTTTTAGACCTTGTTAAAACACATTTTTGCAGAATAAGGCGAATCGATATCTCCTAAAGAGCATGAGCATGAGCATGATTGACCGCCCACGGTTGCTACTCTGTTATTGCCAGATCAGCTGTAATTACACAGAGAACCAATAGACGATGCTTGGGACTAGCAATCATCCTCAATGTGTAAAAACTGGTGATCTCAAATTAGGCAATACCAGCGCCAGCCGCGCCTGAACGCAGGTCAAGAAAGGAATGGGTAGGAATGTGTTGACGTGACACTCGCTTTGATGGAAGCCGAGAAATCCTCTGCACTTCCACGAGGAGTCACTGGGATGTTGGGTAAGAGGGTAGGGTTTGCAGCAAGGTTCGTTTTGGTAAACAATAAGCTGAATTGATGTTTAAACGATAGGGAGGGGTTACTGTATAAATAAATAAAAATGAATGATCTCAGCCAAGTGGAGCTGCACCAAAAGCAACCGGCCAAATTCATATTATGTTATAATAAAATAAAAAGTAAATACCATTGATAAGCTATTTGATACACCTTCTGGTCCTTCAGGATCTACAGGACAACTTTTTTCTAGAAATGAAAATTATAGTATAACGAAGGCTGAAAATAGTGAATCATTATAATATTAATCTAAAAATGTCGAAGAGCTGAAAATAAACTTAAAGATTTAAATCAATGCGTCCAGCCTAAATGGAGGGCTCGCGAACACAATAAGCTTCCTCATCACTCATATGCAGAATTTGATTGAATCAGTATTTACACATATACAAATAAATATACCAATAAGTTATGTAACTTTCTATCCTGGAAAGGAAAAATAAAATGGTTAATTTCACTGTCATATAAACGTTAAACATATATTAGGGAAAATCAAATGATGTTACGTTGCTTCTTCCAGTTGTGTTTTGACCCTGTTATAAATATTTATCAATGAATATTTAATAATAATATAATAGGACCTACGATGTATTCAAACTCAAACTATATCAAGATGGAAATAAAATTATAGTGAATTATTCGTATACACCTAACCGTAAAAAGCCGAGAAACATGCATCATGCGACCGTGGTCATCACTCTGACAAATGAAACGATGAACGATGAACACACATAAATCTCGAATACTCCCCCGAAGGGACGCATCCACTCCCGCAAACAATGCATCCCATCGCCAATCCGGCGCAACCAGCATCCCACCCACGCATGCCAACACCACCATCAGATAGAAGAAATTTTCCCCTACCTGATGGCGGCGCCACAACGCGCGGGCGAGCCACCAACCACACCAAACCGACAATCAAACGCACTGCCCACAAAAGCAGACACGTCCCCTCGAAAATGCAATCAAGAAATGTGTAAGAACAATTTTCAACTGGAAGAAATAATAAACTTGCAATATTTTATATAAAGCTGAAAAATAAGGAGACACATTTGAAATAATGCAAAATAATATAAAGCGATGCAATACAGTACAATATAATATAATATGAGATATAGTGAAGTGAAACATATGTGCAATCTATGAAATGCAAATAATATACATAAAAAAATGTTTAAATTAATTTTGATGTTGGGGAAGTATTAGTTGCTACACAGTTTCATATGGGGTCACGCTCTAATGGGGTAGGGGGTAATCGTGCATCTAAAACCACAACACTCCACGACAAAACACGATCCAGCTTTCGCCTGCCATGCAATGAACAACAGAGACACGCGACAACTCATACAGCTTCAGCGGATGATGGTCAATTCCAAATACACTAATGGTACCGGCAACGGCAACTAACACGGTGATCACGCCGGCAACTACGATGAATTTGGAACTCACCATTTGTCTCGTCTATACAGTCATTACCAGCTCAACACACACACATGCTCCTATCTCTCATTCATAATCGTCTCGTACAAGCAACTCGTTGAGAAGACTTTACGCACACTATTGCTTAGCCATTGACCACCGCAATATCAAACGCATTAGGCCGACAACATAGTAGAAGCGATTCGAAGCGATTCGATGCGATAGCAATTGGCAAAGCGAAATGCAGCGGCAAGCGAAGCAACCTATGACATAGTGAAAGCGTTTTTGAAAACATTACAGTCGCGCGCGCAGTGCAAAATATTTGTTCAAATTTTCGGTGTCCATTTTTCCTCACTAGAATCAGTCCACTTGCGTTCGAAGGCGTCAAAACACAACACGAACAGCTCTGTCGCTTTGCTGAACGCTTTACACCTCTTCGCATCGCTTTCACTATGGCTGGTTTGGGCGATTCCCATAGAACGCTCATAGAGGGTGCTTTCACGCAAGCGCTCCGCTTATTGCCAACGAATCGAATCGCTTCGAATCGCTTCTACTATGTTGTCGGCCTTAGGCCGACTATTATCTTCTCTATCTATTTCCATCAGTAGCGCGAGGGAACAGAACTACACACACTTCGCGATCTACCAACTGGTCACTCGGTAACCTACACCTTCGTAGTTTGCCATTCCTACATTAATTCCTCTACACACTCGAACGTATGTGTATGAGCAACCAAGAAATAATACTACCAAACGCAAAACGTTAGAATAAAACCATCGAATTTCACCACAAATTGCATATTTTCTTCGGCAATTCAATCCGTTTCGAATGCGCCAACCACTAATTCAGGTGATTAACTATGCACTTTCTATAAATCGGTCAATAAAACACACAAAATAACGAAACTATTCCACTCGTAAACACAACGCGACCGGCTGATATCACCAATACTAGATCAATCGGCGAATCGATATCTCCTAAAGATCATATTAATATTTCCTATTAAATAGGCCCTTTTCAAGTTAATTACTTAGCACGGGGCAAATAAAAGAAAATAAGTTGCCAGGGCTAAACTTGAGAAGGGTCTATCTGCTTTGATCGATTCTCTTCATCGACTTTCTCTTTTGATAACCACGGCTA